AATTGAGTCAAATTAAAATGCTAATACATTACTGATAAATTTATGTGAATGGGACATTAAAAAGAAGTATGGCCAAAGCTTACTTTGGCACTCCTGTGACCTAAAATCACTTTACAGCAGGCTAAAGGGGGCCATTCTACACTGCCCCAAGAGGGGATGTGCTACATATGTTTGTTAAGTTCCCAGTATGCCATTGTTCGATTGGAGAAGAAACTTGTAAGAACAATATCATCTGGTCAGCACAATGGAGAGCTCACTCAGACGTCACTGCCCTTCACTACTGAGCGTTCAAAATCCTGCTAGACCCTATCTTTGGAATGGGCTGGTGTGCTTTTCCAGTAAGCAGTGGTAAGGCACAGTAATGTCACCCATGCCTCTTAGAAGCCGAGCCTGAAGTATTTTTTATCTTTTTCTTTTAAATATTTTTAAATCTTTTGTTGCTGCTAATTTGTTTGGGCATTGGATGGCTAGCAGGTCTGCTTTAAATATTTCCAAGGACTACTCTTCAGATCTTTTAGGGACATGACTATAGAGAGTGGTTACATTAATGAGGGTCTTCTGTTTTTTTCCCTTTTCCTCTTCTAGGCTGCGCAGCTCCTGTACTCCACATCGGAAGTTACCTGTTGGGGGTTAAGTTAGAGTTTTCTGCCCTTTACTCTGTAGTGAGGGATCGTGTATATACTGGCCTTCTTGGTTTACACAATTGATACATCGTTTCAAGCATAGAGGTACATTTTTCTTGTTGATCTGAGCCTACGATGTATTGCCAGATTAATTGTCCCTGTGGGATATTGGTCAATTTATAATACGATCTCTCCTTAGGCCTACTTTGCATTACATCATCAATCTGGCCGGTTTTGGAATATCACACTGACGTTATAGATCGTCAACTGGCATTTCTGAAATATATTTTAACCGCTGAGTATTTGGGAGTCTCGTGGGGGTTCTCTACCCGCTTATCGTTTGGGTGATGCGCCCCCACACACAACTGAAGGTTCCACCCTTCCATGTTGGCCTGGGGGGGTTCTGTTTGTGGTTGCGCTGGGGAGTCCTTTGCCACACTATGCACACTGGTTAACTATGTAAGTGTTTATAAGTGCTACCTATGTTGTAACTTTTGTTTGAATTTATATACATGTATATTGCTCAAGTCTATCTATCATCTTCCGATGCGTTGCTAGCCCCTGAAGAAGCGACTCCAGTCGCGAAACATGTTGGGCGTCTGTCACACAGCTTGAATACTCCCCACCTTCTAAAAGAAGTCTACTGTTTGTACTATTGTAACTCAACTTCTTTTTGGAATCAGTCCTTTATGGTTGGTTGGTTGTGGGGAATCAGCTGTGTTTCAAGTGTGCACTGTGATTTTTTAAAAATGACATACAAGAAATGTTTTAAAGTGATATGTTTATAAAGCAAAATTGGTTTTATTTTTTGTGTACCAATTTTTTGTGCCTAGAAAGTCCATTAGAAATGTTTGTTTTCATTATCTATTAATAGAGACGTGGCACTATGGTATGGGTTGGGGTATGACCTTCTACCACCCGATGGTCCCCCCATTTTTCTCTTTCGATTTATATTTGTTTCTTTTTCAGTCTTTTTTTGTTTATAGCGCAAAAAAAAAAAAAAAAATGCACAGGTGATCAAATACCATAGAAAGAAAGCTCTATTTATGGGAAAAAATGACATTAAATGCATTTATGTACAGCTTTGTGTGACCGTGCAATTGTCATTTAAAGTAACGCAGCGCTGTATTGCAAGAAATGGCCTGGTCAGGAAGGAGGGGTAAATCTTCTGGAGGGCAAGTATTAAAAAAAAAAATTTGTAAAAAATGCATCAATTAAAAAAAACACTCCCATCACCCCTGCACACACCCCAAATAAAAAGCGCAATGTAGGGCAACCATGTGTATGTAAACCTCAATTGCACTATACATGTAAGGTATCATCACAAACGCTGAAAGCAGTAATTATATGGCCATAGTTCACGCCTAAACTGGTAGCCTGTAAAGTGACCTGTATTAGATAGATTTTTAGTGCCACTCTAAGAGCCGAGATCCCTGCTCCAATGGTCCACAACTTGTGTGGGTGCTGGGTCCAAAAAACTCATTATAAAAGTATTGGGTGTGAACAATGTACAGATAGCGCAGACAGCCTGAACTTAGGCGTGAAGAGCGACCTTAGCCATGGACCCCCCCCCCGAGCCAAGCCCACTGATGCGTTTCACCCTGCCAGGGCTGTGGATAAGGGGGCTCCACCATCCCTCTTGTATGGGGCTTAGGCCAGCAGGGGGGCCCAGACAGCTGGGTGAATTGAATGTGGGCAGGGAGGGTGATCAGAATGGCGGTGGGGGAATTACTGGAAATGATGCTCTGTATGGCTTTTCCTGCAACAGCTGAATTCTTCTCCTCTCCCTCCCATCTGCTGCAGGGATAGCCATACAGGGAATTGGTTCCAGTAAATAACCCCCCCCCTTAGCTGCAATCATCACCTGTTGCCCAGGCCCCCCTGTGTGCCCCCACCCTTGAAGTGCTGCTGGCTTTCCTCCTCTGCTTCCAACTGGCAGTTGCAAGCACACAAATGGATCCTTCAGGTTGGAGAGTGGGAGAAGGGTCTGGTACATATGTTAAATTTACAAACCCCTTTCTTTTCTGAATGAACACAGTAAGTGATTGGTATCGATCAGTTTGGCTGTATGGGGCCCCGTGGTTTCCAACAGCAGCCCTGCACCCCGACCTCGGGGCTTGGTCATAGGGGTGAAGCTTAGTATCTCTATGACTAAGCCCTGTGGGGCCAAATGTGTTAGAGGAGCGGCCTGGGAGGGGCCATGGCTGAGACCATTCTTCACTCCTATCTAGGAGGTTGTCAATACACCTCACATGTGCCCCCGAAGCTGCCTGCAGGCGTTCCACTATGACAGAGAGGACAATAGGACTCCAGCTATTTACAGGCAACTATAGCTTCCTCAGAGGGCCCCTTCAAACGAGATGAAACCCCTGTGGATTGGTGTCTGTTGTGCAGTGGTGGTGCTTTGAGTTATTACAATACAAGGCATTGTTTACTTTTTTTTTTTAACTTTATTTGGCAGAAACATTGTGCCAGAAGGCATGTTCTCATGTGGTGAGATTATCACAGCCCATTCATGGAATGTAGAAAAGGTAGTGCACGCATATTAGGGCCAGTTCACGTGATCCAGGCACAGTGCAATTTCAGCCCATTCATTTGAATGGGCTGAAATCGCACCAGACTGCACCGAACGCCGTGCACACACTACTGTAGAAAAACGCACAGCAACTAGATTGCATGATACTACTGTACTATCAGGATCGGACTGACAACTCATGGGGCCCCCAGGCAATAGGGGTTCATGGGGCCCATGTGTCCTTGCCCACACTCAAAGCACACCTGTAAAAGTCTATAAAAAGGTACCAGGGGCATCTCATGGGGCCCCCTACTGACTTTGAGCAGTGCCCAAATGGTCAGTCTTCCCCTGTGTACTATGCGATCTGGTGCAGGCAAACGCACTGCATTTGGGTGTTGTCCAGGGTCTGTTCACACTAGAATGTGGTGCGGGAAACCCATGTTCCTGTGAGGTATTCCGCACCGCATTCATATCGCACTGCCCATGTGATGTGCAGCGGGTGTCAGTACAATGTTAACGACACCCCAAACACAGGTCGCAATAGCAGTGAGCTTGCCCGCACTGGTTCGTATAGTACAAAAGTACCATGCTATACAGCTGCAGTGAGTTTCAATAAGTAGCATATGCATTACTTTTGGTGCGGGTGGTTTCAGCCCATTCAAAATGAATGGCCTAAAATAGCACTGCACAGAACTGCATGTGAGTCACACAGACACCGTACAGCACTCCTGTGCGGTTCCAATGCAGTTCCTAATGTGAATAGGCACTAATTGCAAGTTCACAATTTTGCACATTTGCGCAGGCACAGCAGCCTGTTCATCTTTTGCACCATGGCATTGCCCTGTGGTTCCTGCACCCACGCTGAAGTTTTAGATGCATAGGGGTGCCATTTAGAATGACTGAGCAGTGTGTTTTGGCTGCAAGTGGTTGTGGGTGCGGGAAGAGCAGAAATTCTCAGACCTGCAATAGTGTGAAACCAGCCTGACACCCTCTGCAGACGGTAAGCGTAGTGCATTTTGAACATGGTGCAGGAAACGCATTCTGGTGTGAACTGGCCCTTAATTTTTCAAAACGCTCTGCTGCAAACTGCATGGTACCATGCGATTTGGTGCCCACAAATGCACTGCATTTGCAATCAGCGTCTGGGATGCTATTAAAAATATATCCGTATCTGCATGCAGATCACAAAAGCAGCGCATTCGCCTTCCTGCAGATCGCAAAAGCAGCACGTTCTCCTTCCTGCAGATCGCAAAAGCGGCGCGTTCTCATTCCTGCAGATCGCAAAAGCGGCGCGTTCTCCTTCCTGCAGATCGCAGAAGCGGCGCGTTCGCCTTCCTGCAGATCGCAGAAGCGGCGCGTTCGCCTTCCTGCAGATCGCAGAAGCGGCGCGTTCGCCTTCCTGCAGATCGCAAAAGCGGCACGTTCGCCTTCCTGCAGCACGTTTAGGTGGGAAGCAGCCCTCCAATCTACGACCAGCAGTACACAGAGATATGATGTGGGGCACACTGCAAACAATTGTTTTCTATGGGCCATTGCCTAGTGTCTGTGTTAAGCTATCCAGATCCATAGAACATTGTGAAAGAGCCCTCCAGCTCCCTTCCACATGACACCTTCCTGAAGGGTGACTTCACACCTCCAACTCTCCCGGTCACTGATTGGCCTGCTGTTACACACGTGTGAGTGGTTCTCTACCTGCTTGTTCTCAGCACGGCGCTGTGATTCGCCCGCTTTTTCACCGTTGCTTCCCCATTGGTGAATCATTATCTGCTTTTCTATTGGACTAACAAGGTCCTATGTTTGTTCTGGTTGGCAGCTGTGTTCTGCTGGCGTGCTGATTGGCCTGAGAAGGGAGGAGTTGTCATGGCTGCCATCCGTGGTGTGTCCCGGCTCCTGGCCGGGCTCCGGGTACACCGGACACCGGGCCGTCTCTATTCCGTCACTCACCTGTCTGTGTGCCGGAGAGGATAGAGAAGAAGAAAAGCGAGGCCCTCCTGGGCGGCGGGGAGGCGAGGATTGAGGCCCAGCACAAGAGGGTGAGGAGGGCAGAGGACACAGGACAACCCGGGACAGGGGCGGGCTGATATCCACTACTAAAGAATGGAATGGTCTGCATACACTGCCTGCGGGGGAACCTGGCAATACAAGTTTTATTTTTCAATTGTGTGCACGTGTATGTGTGTGTATGTGTATATATATATATATATATATATATATATATATATATACACACACACACACGGGCAAACATTTTTCTATTTTGGATAGTGCAGGAACACCCATCTGTTTGGTTGATTTAGCTGTCTGTGTCCCCTTTTAAAGAGATTTCCCTTCACTTCCTGACCTGGAGACACAACAGGAAGTGAGAGGTAATCCATACAATGTCAGTGGCCTGGAATATATGTCCCCATTGGAAGATTTCCTTCACCTCCTGTTCTGGTGACAAACCAGAGGGCCCACCGGTTTTAGGCCGCTCACATCCGTGTGCTTAAAGGATAAGTTCACCTTCAGGAACATGTTACCTTTTCCACCCGGTTTTAGGCTGGAGCAGGTTCTCGCTCCTGCAGCCGCTCGGCGATCCCCTGACAGCAGTATGGGGAGAAGTTCCCCCTAATTAGCTGTTAGTTTTATAAACGCGCAAGGCTCCACACACAGCTGCGTCATTCATTCACACAGTTCAGTGAATGCACCACAAGTACTGATGGCTTGTAATTCTCAAAGATCTTCCACGGCACTGCGTCCAGATGCGTTTCTGCATGTGCGTTTTGACGCGTTCTGGTGCCTTTTATGCATTCCAGTTCATTTTTCCCCCCCTCTCTTTTTCTTCAATTAAAATAGGGACACATATGTTCCAGTGCGTTTTTGATGCGTTCAAGTACAGTTCTGTGCAGGAAATATGCAGCCTGTTCTACTTTTTTTTTTTTTTTTTTTTTCTGCATCCAGAGAGCATTGGAACTGCAAGCACTGATGTGAACTATGACATTGACAACCATATAACCTACTTTCTGTGCGTTTTTTGAATGCAGAAAAAAAGCAACTGAAACGCATGTAGTGTGAACTGGCCCTGAGGCAGTGTGAAGCTGCCTGCCTGTATGATATATGAGGTATGAGCAGACAGATTACATTGACAGTCTGCAGGAGTCCTGCATGACACCAGTGATCTGATGATCACGGGTGCAATGCTTTCCAGGTTTCAAAAACAAAAATCACAAATGCACTTTTTTTGACATTTGACATTTTTTTTCAACAATTTTTTATTTTTTCTAAAAAGTGAACTTATCTTTAACAAGGCACATAATGTGTTTTACATGTATCACTGCTCACCTGGGAAAAATGTATTACTAGCACGCATATATGTGGCCCTGTTACAACATCAGGAGCCGGCAGGGATCCGCACGCTCCCAATACATGCTTGTGATCAGGAGCCGGCAGGGATCGGCACGCTCCCGGTACATGCTTGTGATCAGGAGCCGGCAGGGATCGGCACGCTCCCGGTACATGCTTGTGATCAGGAGCCGGCAGGGATCGGCACGCTCCCGGTACATGCTTGTGATCAGGAGCCGGCAGGGATCGGCACGCTCCCGGTACATGCTTGTGATCAGGAGCCGGCAGGGATCGGCACGCTCCCGATACATGCTTGTGATCAGGAGCCGGCAGGGATCGCCACGCTCCCGGTACATGCTTGTGATCAGGAGCCGGCAGGGATCGCCACGCTCCCGGTACATGCTTGTGATCAGGAGCCGGCAGGGATCGCCACGCTCCCGGTACATGCTTGTGATCAGGAGCCGGCAGGGATCGCCACGCTCCCGGTACATGCTTGTGATCAGGAGCCGGCAGGGATCGCCACGCTCCCGGTACATGCTTGTGATCAGGAGCCGGCAGGGATCGCCACGCTCCCGGTACATGCTTGTGATCAGGAGCCGGCAGGGATCGCCACGCTCCCGGTACATGCTTGTGATCAGGAGCCGGCAGGGATCGCCACGCTCCCGGTACATGCTTGTGATCAGGAGCCGGCAGGGATCGCCACGCTCCCGGTACATGCTTGTGATCAGGAGCCGGCAGGGATCGCCACGCTCCCGGTACATGCTTGTGATCAGGAGCCGGCAGGGATCGCCACGCTCCCGGTACATGCTTGTGATCAGGAGCCGGCAGGGATCGCCACGCTCCCGGGACATGCTTGTGATCAGGAGCCGGCAGGGATCGGCACGCTCCCGATACATACTTAATCCCATTGAGAACTTGTGGTCAATGCTCAAGAAGCAGGTGAACAAAAAAAAACCCCACAAATTCTGACAAACTCCAAGCATTGTATATAAAGGAAAAATAATTGTTCTAGGTCAAACAATGAATTGCACTACTCTAGCAGCCACTGAAACAACTGTGATACAAACTCCAAGCATTGATTATGCAAGAATGGGCTGACATCAGTCAGGATGTGGCCCAGACGTTGATTGACAGCATGCCAGGGTGAATTGCAGAGGTCTTGAAAAAGAAGGGTCAACACTTCAGATATTGACTCTTTGCATAACCTAAATGTAATTGTCAATAAAAAGCCTTTGACACCTATGAAATGCTTGAAGTTATATTTCAGTATACCATAGTAACATCTGGTAAAAATCTAATAACAGTGGAGCAGCAGACCTTAGGCCAGGGCTCTACACCAAAAGCATTTCTTCTTCAGTTAAATGAAGATGAGTTCAATCCTCTGTCAGGCTGTTATTACTGTTTGTGTATTACTGACCCAATAACAAGCACTCCCCTCATTTATTGCCCTTTTTCTTGACACTACTTGTCTATCCCAAAATGAAAAAGTTGTTTTGGAGTTAGGCAATGGCAGCCTTCATCTGTGGCAGAGATTTCAGATGATTGTGATGAATAGAAAAGTAGTTTGAAAAAAAAAAAGTAGTTAAAATGTTTATTTTTGTTTTTAGGGTTTTTTTTTTTTTTTTTTTTTGTGGAAAGAGTAGGGAATGGTTAGGGCCTCTCTCTCTTTTTAATGCTATGTCGTTGTACGCTGGCTGCCAAAATGTGTCCTCACTTCTGTCCTTATGGCACACTGACACAGAGGGTGTCATGAGAAGGGGAAGCAAAGGGGCAAATACAACCATAATGGCTTAACTTAGTAGACGTAATAGTCTTTTTGTAGAAGAGACTTAAAATGCTGAAAAGAGTTGGCTGGCTGTTGGGTTCAGGCCAGGGCTCTGTGCAGATCACTTGAGCTCCTTCACAACGAATTCATCAAACCATGCCTATATGGATTTGTCTTTGTGCACAGGGCACAGTCATACTGGAACAGAAAATGGCCTTCCTAAAATGGTTCCCACAATGTTTAGAGCAGTATTTCTTACCCCTTTTAACATGGAGGAACCCTTGAAATAGCTTTCAAGCATCAGGGAATCCCTGCTAATAAGTTCTGTACCTATGGCTCACAGGACATTACCAGGATGGTCACTGGGAGGAATGCTTCTTACACTGGTGGCCAGCGGGAAGAATGCACCTTATGTTGGTCATTGGGAAGAATGCTCCTTACTTTGGTGATCAGCGGGAAGAATGTTCCTCGCATTGGTGGTCAGCGGGAAGACTGTTCCTTGCATTGGTGGTCAGCGGGAAGACTGTTCCTTGCATTGGTGGTCAGCGGGAAGACTGTTCCTTGCATTGGTGGTCAGCGGGAAGACTGTTCCTTGCATTGGTGGTCAGCGGGAAGACTGTTCCTTGCATTGGTGGTCAGCGGGAAGACTGTTCCTTGCATTGGTGGTCAGCGGGAAGACTGTTCCTTGCATTGGTGGTCAGCGGGAAGACTGTTCCTTGCATTGGTGGCCAGCGGGAAGACTGTTCCTTGCATTGGTGGCCAGCGGGAAGACTGTTCCTTGCATTGGTGGCCAGCGGGAAGACTGTTCCTTGCATTGGTGGCCAGCGGGAAGACTGTTCCTTGCATTGGTGGCCAGCGGGAAGAATGTTCCTTGCATTGGTGGCCAGCGGGAAGACTGTTCCTTGCATTGGTGGCCAGCGGGAAGAATGCTCCTTGCATTGGTGGCCAGCGGGAAGAATGCTCCTTGCATTGGTGGCCAGCGGGAAGAATGCTCCTTGCATTGGTGGCCAGCGGGAAGAATGCTCCTTGCATTGGTGGCCAGCGGGAAGAATGCTCCTTGCATTGGTGGCCAGCGGGAAGAATGCTCCTTGCATTGGTGGCCAGCGGGAAGAATGCTCCTTGCATTGGTGGCCAGCGGGAAGAATGCTCCTTGCATTGGTGGCCAGCGGGAAGAATGCTCCTTGCATTGGTGGCCAGCGGGAAGAATGCTTCTCTTACAGATAGCAATCTTTGCCTCTCAGATAAGTAACCACTGACGCCAATAATCTTCTTAGCTGATTGCTCAGTGAACCCCTAGAAACCTTTTGGAGGAATCATGGTTGAAAGGGGCTGATTTACACAATCGTCTAAAATGTTTTTGTATGCTACAGCATGAACAATACCCTTTATTCAAAACCCCTGAACTCAGTGATTTGGAGTGTTTACATATGTTTGGCCATATAATCTTTTTAGTGGTGATTTTTGTCATGAATGACGTTTTGCCTAATAGAGAATGTAGTAGACCCTTCGGGGTTTATTTACTAAAGCTGGAGAGTCCAAAATCAGACTCCCTTCTGCATAGAAACCAATCAGCTTCTAACCTCAGCTTGTTCAATGAAGCTTTGGCAATGAAACCTGGAAGCTGATTGGTTTCTATGCAGAAGGGAGTCTGATTTTGGACTCTCCAGCTTTAGTAAATAAACCCCTTCATGAATAAAGTAAACTGTTTGCGTTTTGTCCTGTATTCCAGGGAAAGCTGACAGCCCGGGAGAGGATTGGTCTGTTGCTGGATCCTGGCAGTTTCGCGGAGTATGACATGTTTGTGGAACACCGATGTGCCGATTTCGGAATGCAAGAGGACAGAAACAAGGTACATTTTTCTCCTTTCTTTACTATATAATATAAAAATCTATTCTTATCGGTCAAATACCTTTTTGGTGTTTGGTGCACTTAAGGTGGTTCTGTAAAGGCTCAAGGTTTTTTTACCTTCATGTATTCTGTGCATGAAGGTTAAAAAAAACCTATGTGTGCAGCGGTCTCCCCCAGCCCCCCCAATCCATACCTGAGCCCCCTCTGATCCAGTGACGTTCTTGACAGCCTCTGCCGTCTGGGGACTCTTCCTTCACATTGGCTGAGACAGCAAGGGGAGTCCTTTGGCTCCTGCTGCTGTCAGAAACAGCTAATGAGGAGAGAGTGGGGGGGGGGGGGGGGGGGGTCTGAGACGCATATGGACGCATAGAGCTGCAGCTTGTGGATGAGCATGCAGCGGTGCCCCCAGGGCACCTGGCTTTCCCTGGGGGCAGTGCTCAAGGGGGAGGAGCCGCTAGTGGGACCTTAAAAGAAGAGGATCTGGGCTGCCCTGTGCAAAACCATTGCAAAGAACAGGTAAGTATAATATTGAATGTTTGTTGTTTAAAAAAAAAAAAAAAAAAAAATAAAGAAGAAAAAATGAAGCTTTAATGTCACTTTAAGTGTAAGTGAAACTATGCACAAAATGTATGACATTTGTATCATTCTAGTCTGTGTGAGTATAAGTTAAGATCAGCATCTCTGTTTATAATGGCACAGAGCTCGTCATGCATTTACCTGCACCATAAATATACAGTGAAAATAGGCTTCAGGATTTCAGAATGGTGAATTTTCTCAGTCTAGAATTTTTTTGTTCCTCTGTTGGTTTCAAAAATTTGCAATCTGAGTAGTAGAGGGTTTACAAAGATGGAAACAGTTAATTTGATCTTATCCTGTATATAACCAATAATTGCCTCTCAAGGGATTTGTGATTATTTATTATTTTTTTAATCGCTCCCCCCCCCTCCTTATCAAGCTATGATGTCATTGGTTGTTAGGACTCCAGGGGCTAGAAGGTTGTAATGGTGCACAATTGATCCACCTGCTTGCTTGTATGCCATTTTTAGACATTTTGCCAAGGCACCCGTAAAGAAACCTGAAGGCACCCTGGTTGAAAAGTGCTGGTTAACACCAAGAATCGCACAGGAATGCACTGTGTGTTGCTGTACAATTCACGTGCGATTTCATCCTATTCATTTTAATGGGCTGGAATTGCTCTGGACCGCACCAAAAGTAGGGCATGCACATCAACCGGAACATATGGTATTATTGTACAATTTGATTCAAGGCAGGCAAACGCATTGCATTTGTGACCTGAGTTTGGGGGTAATTAAGTAAACAAGACACCTTTGTTCTGATGTGAACTGGCCCTCAATTCAATCTTTGTCAGGTCTGTAAAGGTAAAAAACCTTTCAGGCCCACATTAGCAAATGGGGCTGTTTTGTGATTTGTTGCCGATGGGAATCCCCATTTAAAGCAATGGAAAGCTAATGACTCTCAGCTATTTGTGGCCAACAACATGTATTTGCTCATGTGATCACCTGTGCATGATTGGCCCTGGACGTAGACAGTCTGCAGGTAAATGCTGCATGAGTGATTTCATGCGGTTGACTGTAAATGGTTGTGGATGATGTTGACCTCATTTCCTTTGCATTCAGTGGGGATTCTCATCCCCAGCTATTCACAGGGTCTCCCGCGGCTTATCGCAGTTGGCTCCATTTCGCAAACCCAAATGCTAATGAAGTATTGTTTATGATCACTAGATGGGGGAGCTGACAGAAGAATCTGCACACTAATAGTGTAGCCGTGTCAGCAGATTGCCTAGTGCCTTATTCCACTGTCTTTTCTATGCATGTCTCTGCTAAAGCACTGCATCTCTTGTGACAATTTCCAGACAATAATTGAGCTAACCATCATATTAATCTCTTCCGTTTAGAGTGGACGTAGGCTCCTACATGAGAGAGATCCTATATTATCATTTTATTATTCATGATTGGGGATTTATAAGGCAGCCATTGCTAAATAAATGCTTTTCCTTCATTGTGAAATGTCACACCTTTTTATTATAGAACCCATGGCACATATTTTTATGGCACTTGTGTGGCCTCTACACATACCTGGCATTAAATAAAACCTAAATGGGTACACAAACCAACCCTTTTGTTTTCCAACTTATCTGCAGGGACCACTTTGCCAGGTACAGCAATTCCATGTGTTTTTTTTTTTATTTAAATGGCAATGTCATGTAAACAATTGAATTTAACCAAAAGGCTTGTAATGCTTATCAATTACATTGCAACCATGCCACTCGCACTCAAAGGTTTCTCAGTTTATCTGGCTGCTGTTACTCGCAGAAAATGCTCATTTTCTGACTGTTTCCAAGTTCAATACTTTTGAAGTCTCTGATCTGCAGCAAGTAAAGTCAAAACTTTTGATTTTGTTGACGTCTTTTAAATCTGTGATTTGGGAAGCATTGCAACCATCAGCATACTAGCAAAGTTACCAGTATCATCATTAGGAAGTCGGTACTGCCAGTCCCCCACCCCCCCTTAAATCGCTCGAATAGGCTTCTTTGACTCCTATGTGTTGTGTACGCTGCTAGAACCAGATTCCAGAGAGCTACTTACACAGTGGAAGGGTCTTCTGATGTCTTTGGTGTGCAACTTCCTCTCTCCGTCTTTGTTTCACTTGTTGCCCATGAGATTCAAACTTGTAAAGCAGGTTGGATTATTATTGGCGGCTATGTGAACCTGCTTCCAGTAGATTTTGGGAATACCACTTCTTGTATTGTATAAAGGTAAGCTAAAGTGGTTCCCAAATAATTAGATTACTGACATTAGAAAATGGGATAAACTAGGACACAACAGTTATTCCTGGGTGATCAACTGAAGCCCTAAGGAATTGGCTTTCCTCTTGCCACTGAAGGGTTCATTTGCCATTTTAACTGCAGAATGTACTTAAGGAAAAATATATCTATTTGAAGAGTTTTAGGAAGCATTAGGATGTTTGTGGGGTTTTTTGGGTTTTTTTTTAGCATTTATTTCATTACTTTTGTCTGATAAGCACCCTCAAAGTAAAGCCGCGTATTGCTAATATCCTGAAATCGCTTCATAAAAAATAGTTGGCACTGATCTATAATCTGTTACCACAAAGGATTTGCATGTTCCCTGATTAAAAGAGGGCTGGAATTAAAGAGAGCGAGAGGGAAATTAAGGACAAGCAAACAATTTATTAGTTGTATCCTGACTTGTCCTGACTTGTGTGTTTTTTGTGGTGTGTTTTTTTTTTTTCTCTCTTACATCTACCAAGCTATGTAATCATTCTCCCAAATTTCTGTTAGTATCGCCCATAAAGCTCATGTATTTACAGCATGTATATATCCATGTAGTCATATCAGACGTTCTGCAGTTCCATGGGGCAACTTTCTGGGCACCATGATTGATAGACTTGAAAGCTATTTTTATATAGAATCTTCTTGACAAATTTTTTTATGAGGTAGGCCAACAGATTCTTCCTCAACTCTCCATTAGTTGGTCAGCTTGGGACTGGCATGCAGAATGTGATATACACACCGAAAGGGTCAGTTTAGACAGGAGCTAATTAACACACAAGCCTGTCTTTGGAATGTGGGAGGAAACTAGGGTACCTTGAGGAAACCCACACAGGGAGAACGTGCAAATTCTGGGGCATATTTATTATTATTATACAGGATTTATATAGCGCCAACAGTTTGCTCAGCGCTTTACAATATAATGGGAGACAATACAGCAATAATACAGTTCAATACAAGAGGGCCCTGCTCCTTGGAGCTTCCAATCTAAGAGGGGATAGTGGTACAAAAGGTAATAACTGTGGGGGATGGACTGGTATTTGAACCAGGAACTCCAGTGCTGCAAAGCATTTTGGGTGGATCCGCTGGCATTTAATACTCTACCTATATGGCATTTCACAGTTTTGTAACTGGAGCTTTATGTCACTTTCTCTGTTAATTATTATTTCCTCTTGTAGTATCCCGGAGACAGTGTTGTCACAGGACAAGGCCGCATTAATGGAAGGCTGGTGTATGTTTTCAGCCAGGTAAATTTTGTACTGTGCAGTGTGAGATGTGTATCCTAAACATGAAACGTGTTATGTGAGTAGAATCTGTTATATTTTTACAGGACTTTACTGTGTTTGGAGGCAGTTTGTCTGGAGCTCACGCACAAAAAATCTGCAAGGTAAGGAAGCTAAGCACAGTGTTATGTGGCTCAGACATGAAATCGGAACAAATCACACATATTTCTATTAGGGATGCACCGATGCCGAGTATGACTACTGATACTTTTGGTCGAGTACTCGGCGATACCGATTACCGATACTTTGTTCCTGTCCAAATCGTATGCGGTTTCCCCATGCTTCTGTGTGAACCCAGCTTTCCTGAGTTTCCCACAGGAGTGGTGCAGGAAGGTTTCCTGCATCGGAGACTGGGGATGTATACTATGGTGACAGATGCTCCATATTCTCAGAGTAGGAGAGGAGAGCGAGCCCCCGCTTTCTCTCCTCTCCTTGCAGCAATGACTGGTCCGGCTAGAGGGCATTTGATTGGTCAGCACCATCACATGGATGGTGCTGACCAGTCAGATGCTGTATAGCATGCATGTAGGCAGGGAAAGCTACTTTCTCTTCTACCCTTTGTTTTTCAGGAGTAGGATCTGCTCCATAATCTTAGTTTAGAAGAGTAGTGCAGGCTATATGCCAGCACCACTCTTTAATTTTCTCCACTGTTTATATATGTTTACTAACTGCAGGAAAAAAGATGCCTGGGCAGCACAGTGGTTAAATGGTTAGCACTTTCAGCTGCCAGTACTAGGGTCGTCTGTTCGAATCCCAGCCACAGCTCCACCTGCCTGGAGTTTGCATGTTCTCCCTTTGCCTGCGTGGTAGGTTAATTGGATCCTGTCTAAATTGTCCCCAGTATGTGTATGTATTAATGTAAGTTTTCTAGATATGTGTGTGTATGTATGTATGTATGTATGTATGTATGTATATATATATATATATATATATATATATATATATATATATATATATATATATATATATATATATATATATATATATATATATATATTGTTTGTGTGTACACACACACACATAATGTGTGTGTGTGTGTGTGTGTGTGTGTGTGTGTAAAGTGCTGCGTAAATTGAGAGCACTATATAAGTACCTGAAATAAATGCTGAGAAATGTGTACCTGCTCATCCTAGGGTAAAATTGAAATGGTCGGATTCCCAGGTCAATAGTTCCCATGATGTCCTCTTCTGATCCTGGGCACCTTTTTACTATAGATTATGTGAAGTGGTCATTGATGAACATTATTTTACTCTTTGAGATCCTTCTTCAAACAGGACAATCTCTTGGAAATGATCTTCAGTCATTTTATTTTACCGTAGCTGGAGAAATCATTTCTCATGAGACATGAGTTGTTGCAGTGGTCCTTGTCTTTAAACATAATTGCAAACTGAGCAATTTATAACTTGAAAGTCAAGTCCTCTTCAAACTGAGCTTTCAGATTTGTGGTGCAGCAGTTGGGCTGAATAGAGATGTAACATCTGTAGTATGTACTTTTTATCTTTCTGTTGAGCTCACTTCAGGGGTTTTATCCTCAGTTATCCAGAGTTCAAAGCTGAACTTCGGGCACACAGTCTTTCATTTCAATATGTGCCTCAATAGTCAAGTATATAAATTCACTTTGTGTACACAAAAATGCCTTTGCAAACCCAGATTTTACCTTGTAAAAGTAGCAGTGACATCATCTCTCTCACATAGCTGTTAGCAGCAGGTCCACCCATAACAGACCTTTTGCAGCAACCTACATGAGTGGGTGGGTACAAGACTAGTCACCCTGCATAAGAATACATGGCAGCAGTCACCAGTTTTTATTACAGGAAGCTCTTGTATTTAGATATGATTTGCCTATCTCAGCGTTTACCTTTAACATGTACTAATCTATTTTGTATTGTGGAAAATCCTGCAAAAGGATTGTGAAGCTCTATTTTTCTATTGTAATGGCTGCTACAAAGAGTGGAGTCAGGAACTCTGTAGTGTATGTCTTTCATAGTTTACAGAAGTAGGTGATTCAAGCAAGCATTGTCCACTGGAAACAAAGTTTCTGGTTTAAGTGGGTTTGGGCATTGAGTAACATTTGCTAGAATTCCAGTTGTGTCATCTTGCACTCAATGTGCAATTTAAGAACTGTTTGTACCCTTTCTTGCTTTTCCTAGATCATGGACCAAGCTGTTCTGGTGGGAGCCCCGGTGATTGGACTTAACGACTCTGGAGGAGCTCGTATCCAGGAGGGTGTAGAGTCCTTGGCGGGCTATGCGGACATTTTTCTGGTATTGTGGTTGTGCTCATCATTTTAGCTTGAACGTTACATTTTCAACTTGGCTTTTTTGTTTAGTGAAAGTTTGCTAATTTTACATAAAGTAGAACTAAAGGCAAAACTTTTTTTTTTTTTGGCTAGAGTAAGGGAGAGTAATAGCCCCTGGGTCCCATTGGAGAGATTGGCCTTCACTTCCTGTCCATATCCAAAACATGAAATTAGAGGAAAAAACTCCAGTGAGAGGAATTCCACCAGAACTATTGTTCCCACTGCAAAATTTGTCCTCTATTCCTGTTGTGGTGAAAGATCAAAATTTAGGATTTTCTTTTACTTTCACTTTTAGTGATAATTGGGACACACAGGAATAAAAAGCAGATGTGTACTAATTACTCTATCCAAAACTAAAAAAAAAAAAGTTTTACCTTTTTAGCTATACTGTAAAAGGCCCTGTATTTTCTTACTGTATTTCAGTTGTTGCCTCATTCGTATTTAATGAAAGTAAAAGATACCATCTTTTGTAATGGCAATTTTAGACAGGGTAAATTTAATTGATTGTGACAAAACATGGTATTAATAGAATGTAGGCAGGAAGCAGGTATTATGTAGCAGGCTCTAACCTATGTCATTTATTTCTAGAGAAATGTGCTGAGTTCTGGTGTCGTGCCTCAGATTTCTCTGATTATGGGTCCCTGTGCTGGAGGTGCTGTTTATTCCCCTGCCCTAACGGACTTTACATTCATGGTTAAGGTAAGCGTGTCATCCATATCAGCACAGCAGAGTGTAGTTGCAGCATGGTGGCTGCTTACAGTGGTTCACAAGGCTACACACTGCAAATACTGCACCCTAAGAGCTAGCCCTTGTAAGAATGCTCGATTACCTTGTAAACTTGGCTTCTCTTTTATGGAGAGAAGAGAGGGTGGAGTGGGAGGTTTTTTTAGTTTATCAGTAGGAATATAATAGGAAACGGGATGAATTTTATAACCTACCTGAATGAGCACTTCCTTCCAGTTGTGGGCTGGTTTCCTTATTGGGGGGGGGGGGGTCTTTTGCAGACCATTTTCCAGGACATACACGATATGTTCCTGTGGACCAGCCTAACTTGTAACTATCCCAAAAGGAACAGTAAATGCAGTATCAGCCATGGAAACCCCACACAACTGGCGCCTACTATTGCCTTAATATACCCATAGACGTGGGATAAGCAAGACCTAGTCTGGCCTATTTAAGTTGGGTTTGACAACAATCTCATACCTATAGGAAATACATTACGCTCAAAAGTTTGCATACCCTCCGAGAATTGGTAATAGTATGTACTATTTTTAAAGAGAACATGCGTAAGCAGGCAAAGCACATTTCTTTATTTCTTATGGGATTCCATAAGGGGTTAACATGTGGGGCGATTAAAGGGTTAACTGAGTGCTGTGTGCCATTTTACATACTGGACTGTGTTTGTGCTTCACTGTAAGCACACTAGTTTGCATGGTTGTGCTATGCACAGCCAGACCAAGCAGTGTGCAGGAGCTGACGGGAGAGAACTGTTTTGTTTACAAACAGTTCTCTCCCCTATCGGAGATGCTTGGCAATCACTGGGCAGGACCCGGTAAGTGACAGCCGAGGCCATGGTTAAGGTGTGCGCCCCCTACCTGGGAATGCAAAATCGTGTGTGTGTGTGTGCGTGTGCGTGTGTGTGTGTGTGTGTGTGTTAAATAAGTGTGTGGTTTGTTTTTTTTTTGGTTGGTATAGCTGCCCCATTTGTTTTGCCCAAATGCATCCAGGTCATGTAAAGTCTTTGGTGGTCTTGCATGAACTGCACGTTTGAGATCTCCCTAGAGTGGCTCGATGATATTAAGGTCAGGAGACTGTGATGGCCACTCCAGAACCTTCACCTTTTCCTGCTGTAACCACTGGAGGGTCAACTTGACCTTGTGCTTAGTTTCATTGTCGTGCTGGAAAAATAAGAGTGTCCCATGTGTAGCTTTCACGCAGAAGAATGCAAAATATCTGCCAGTATTTTCTGATAATGTGCTGCATTTATCTTGCTCTCAATTTTCACAAGATGCCCATGGTTCACAGTGGGGATGGTATTCTTGTTACTATAGGCCTTGTTGACTCCTTTCCAAACAGCGCTTATGGTTGTGACCATAAAGTTCTATTTTGGTCTTGTCACTTCATATAACAGTGTGCGAGAAGCTGTGAGGCCTGTTCAAGGTATCAGGCATATTGTAATCAGGATTTTTCGTGGCAGTGGTGCAGCAAAAGCTTCTTTCTGGCAACTCAACCATGCTGCTCATTTTTGTTCAAGTATCATTGTATTGTGCCCCTTGAGACAACCACATCGTCCTTCTTCTTTTTTTTTTTTTAAGCCAAACTATGTGATTTATAAACCGCTTCATATTATTATTATTATTATACAGGATTTATATAGCGCCAACAGTTTGCTCAGCGCTTTACATTATAACGGGAGACAATACAGCAACAATACAGTTCAATACAAGAGGGAAAGGAGGGCCCTGCTCCTTGGAGCTTACAATCTAGGATATGATCAGTATCCTTAAATAAAAGACAGTTTTTTGGCATGGTCAGTCCTATTTTCAATACCAATGCCAACATTTCACAATTACTGCCAGGGTATGGAAACGTTTGAGCAATATTATATTTTAGTGATTATAGCAAAATGGAATGTGTACTCAGTTTCAGCTTTCTGTCTCCAGATTGTCAATTCACTGGCGTTTAAGCAGAGTAGCTGGCTTTTCTTTGCTAAACAATTCCTTCATTGGGGCTGTAAGGACTTTTCAAGTTGCAGGAGTAGCCTTAGTTGGACTTGTGTAGGCATATGGGTGTACAGCCGATTTTATGTTTTTTACAGCAGGCGATTCTGTTATTTCCTTCACGCTGTAGAAAAAGGCGATCTGATTGGTTGTTGTTTGTCTTGGTGTGTAAAATAACCCCGTGAACCCCTGTCGATTCTCTTCTGGCTTAGCAATGTGTTTGTTTTTCTCTTCCCAGGACACTTCCTATCTCTTCATTACTGGTCCAGATGTAGTAAAGTCAGTTACCAATGAGGATGTGACACAAGAAGACCTAGGAGGAGCCAAAACCCACACTGCCCTATCAGGTTTTTAAAGCTAATTTAAAGCAATACCGCAATTTACCACAAGAACTCCGGGATAGGTAGAAAATAAAAATCCCCCATTAGTACACTGCCCCCCCCCCCTACACAACACTAAACAGTTAATAAAATGTTGAAAATCCTTATTTAGGAGAAAATTTTCATGACCTCATGTCTGTAAATCAAAATGAAACAGCATCTGCTCTACCAAGGAGGAGGAGCAAAGATTACATCATCTCCTCTCTTTCTGCAGTAAAAGGAAACTACAGTTCCCATCAAACTCACAGGGAATTGTAGTGAATGTGGGCGGGTACGCTAGGCCTGTGCATGTTGAATATGTCTGAGAGTCTTGCTCCGCCCACCACTGCAAGTGGGGCTGAATTGCATCACTGCTTCCTGGTTAAAGAACTACAGAAGGGATGTGCCAAGACCAGTGGCTGGGGGAATAGGAGGCATAGCAGCCACTGGTCTTACAAACAGGAAACCAAAGAGAATAACGGTTTGATTTGAAAATGAGTACACTATTTCAGAGGAAATATTGAGTGAACCAGAAGATGGATGACATATTCAGTGAAGGCAGGAAATCGGCATCAAGGACAATTGTGCGAAAATACTTGTCAGCTTTATATGACTAGAGCACCATGGCAGGCAGCAGCTGCTGCTTGATCGTCCAGTGGTGCCATACACAAAAACATTTACAGATGTATATTGCTACTACTCCTTTTACAGACTATCTATGCAACATGTAAAATCAATTTTTAATACACTCAAGTAAACAATGTAGCCATGCTAAACTGGGCTTGCTTACTGGGATTGGAGTGTCAAGGCCACAATTGTAGGCATAAACCAGTCACTAGCATGACACTGGGAAGAGGCATATGATCTGATTTTGATGTGAATTTAATTTTTTTCCATATTGCCTTTGCAGGGGTAGCTCACCGAGCTTTTGAAAATGACATAGACGCTTTATTAAACCTGCGGGAATTCTTTAACTACCTTCCACTAAGCAATAAGGATGCAGCACCAGTAAGGGAGTGTCATGACCCAAGGTAAGCTGTTTGGAGGGGAATTAACAAGTGCTGCAAGCACAATGTTTGTACTGTTCTTCTGAACATAAAAAAGGAGTAGATGCTGCTCCTAATTAACAAAGAGGCACAAGCTGTGCAATTATATGCTGGAATAGACGTGACAGGGGTTCGCAGGCTTATTTTACACATCATGACAAATTACCTGATTTATCTCTAGGTGTTCCAGCAAAAAACATGATGGCTTTTTTTTGTCTTTAATCTTGTTTTGAAACTGCAAACTAGATTGTCTATTATGTAAAAAAAAAAAAAAAAAATTGTAACCTTACACATAAAATAACACAGATTCAGATAAACTGGTATATCATCTGCATATAGAAATGCATGTTTCTTCATAGTTCTAACCCTGAGCTCCTGTCAATTGCAAAAGAGTCCTGCTGAATGCTCTATGGGCAGTGTAACAAATATGAACAGCAAATACATGTATGTGTTTTAATCAGAGTTCCACCCAAAAGTGGAAGCTCCACTTGTTTGCCTCCCCCCCCCCCCCCCCCCCCCCCCTCCACTGCCATATTTGGCACCTTTTTGGGGGGAGGGGGTACCTGGTTTTGACAGGTACCCACTCCCACTTCCGGCTCGGTTTGCTGCGGTGAAGTGAACCAGACGTTTGACCCCCTCCTTCCTCCCGCAGTCTCCTGGGAACCTTCACAGCTCCCAGAAGACTGCCGGACCAAGCAGGAGGCGCAACGTGACTCGCTCTTGTGCAGTGGGCACCCGGCTGTGAAACTGCAAGCTGTTACAGCCTGGTGCTCACAATTGAAATGCCGGCGCCGTGGAGAGAAGAAGAGAAGGGACGGTGCGGGTGAGCACATCGCTGGACCCTGGGACAGGCAAGTGTGTGTGTTCATTAAAAGTCAGCAGCTGCAGTTTTTGTAGCTGCTGACTTTTATTAAACGCAAAATCTACTGGAGCTCCGCTTTAAATAAGCCTCAATGTTATCTAAAGATATACAGTTGTGTTCAAAATAATAGCAGTGTGTTAAAGTGAATAAAGCTCAAACTCCTAATAGCTTTTATTTCTATACACACAAATGCATTGGGAACACTACACATTCTATTCCAAATCAAAACATGAAGAAAAATACATCAAATTTGTGTTGTTCCTCTAAAAAATTGAAGAAAAGTGAATATTAGACTGTTCAAAAAAATAGCGGTGTTTGTATTTTTCTTTACAAACTCAAACATTCACTATATAAACTGAAAAATGTTTGAAGATTTTGCTTTCCTTTGAATCACTTAATGAATATTTAGTTGTATAAGCACTGTTTCTGAGAACTGCTGTACATCTGTGTTGCATGGAGTCAACCAACTTCTGGCACCTGTGAACAGGTATTCCAGCCCAGGATGATTGGACTACATTCCACAATTCTTCTCTATTTCTTGGTTTTGCCTCAGAAACTGCATTTTTGATGTCACCCCACAAGTTTTCTATTGGATTAAGATCCGGGGATTGGGCTGGCCACTCCATAACGTCAATCTTGTTGGTCTGGAACCAAGATGTTGCACGTTTACTGGTGTGTTTGGGGTCGTTGTCTTGTTGGAACACCCATTTCAAGGGCATTTCCTCTCAGCATAAGGCAGCATGACCTCTTCAAGTATTCTGATGTATTCAAACTGATCCATGATCCCTGGTATGCGATAAATAGGCCCAACACCGTAGTATGAGAAACATCCCCATATCATGATGCTTTCACAACCATGCTTCACTGTCTTCAGTGTACTGTGGCTTGAATTCAGTGTTTGGGGGTCGTCTGACAAACGGTCTCCGGCCACTAGACCCAAAAAGAAACAATCTTACTTTCATCAGTCCACAAAATGTTGCGCCATTTCTCTTTAGGCCAGTCAATGTGCTCTTTGGCAAATTGTAACCTCTTCAGCACGTCTTTTTTTCAACAGTGGGACTTTGCGGGGGCTTCTTGCAAATAGATTGGCTTCACATAGGCGTCTTCTAATTGTAACAGTACTCACAGGTAACTTTTGACCTTCTTTGATCTTCCTGGAGCTGATTGTTGGCTGAGTCCTTGCCATTTTGGCTATTCTTCTATCCATTTGAATGGTAGTTTTTCGCTTTCTTCCACGTCTTTCAGGTTTTTGGTTGCCATTTTAAAGCATTTGCGATAATTTTAGCTGAGCAGCCTATCATTTTCTGCACTTTATATGTTTTCCCCTCTCCAATCAACTTTTTAATCAAGGTACGCTGTTCTTCTGAACAATGTCTGGAATGACCCATTTTCCTCAGAATTTCAGAGAGAAATACACTGTAACCAGCATGTACAACATTTGCTGCCTTCCTTCCTTAAATAAGGGTAATAATTGCCACCTGTTTTTCAAAGAATGAATGACCTCACTAATAGAACTCCACACTGCTATTATTTTGAACATGCCCCTTTCAATTAATGATTCAATTACACAGAATCAACAGCAGGCATGTCATGACTGTTGGGTGACTGTTGGATTTCTATTACTCTACTACACCTGCTAGTAAATGATTTGCCATGTAGAAATATCATTTCTACCAAAAACAGTGATTGATCAGGTTAGTGATGTCTGACTGCTATTATTTTGAACACAACTGTACATGCCTATAATAAATGAAGTACATTGCAGAGAATACCATTGCATACCATAATAATCCCAGTGTTTTCTGTGTGGTATTGATTGTACAGTTTTTGAGTTTTATTCTGAAAGATGTAGTAGTTCCGTTACAATGCACTGAGTTTTATTTGTATTACAGCGAGCGCCTCGTACTTGGATTAGACAGCATAGTTCCCATGGAGTCCACTAAAGCCTATGATATGCTGGATATCGTCCATTCGGTAATGCTGCTGTGGTGTAGCTACCTTGGTTTTATTAAAGTAATGGGATGACATAAAGAGGGTGAACAATTGTGGTTTCTTCCTGTAATGAACAAATGTGGAAGTCCAATCAGTGAGCTAGGAAGCACTTTATCAGAAAAAGTGTAAATTTGGTAGCAGATGTCACGTCTTGGTTGCATTTTCTGGCCATTTCCTTGGGATAGGATTGTTAAATCCTTCATTATATATGTCCTACTGTGTACCGTGGTGTGGAGGTTTTGGCAATGCTGACTTGCTATGTTGCCTTGCTGTGTTGGGACTCTTTGAGTGTTTCTATCCAGGGGACAATTTGTAAGCAATTTCTTATGTTTCCATGTGACTTTCCTCTTTCTTTTTTCTCCAGAGATTAGGAACCTTGCTTTCTGAGCATATTAGAACAGTATTTCCATAACAAGGATTCTATTAGCACACAGAAAAGTGTAATATTTGACCAGATAATGTCTACATACGAAAATGTTACTTAATCCATATTAGATATGCAGTAATGGTCCTTGTATTCAGTTGTCTGAGTTTCAACCACTGTTAGGTGCCTATATGGGATGGTAATATTTGCTTTTTCTATTTTCAGATTGTTGATGAACAAGACTTCTTTGAGATTATGCCCAACTATGCCAAAAATATGATAGTGGGCTTTGCCAGGATGAATGGCAGGACGGTTGGCATTGTTGGAAACCAGCCAAAAGTGGCATCAGGTGCTGAATATATGTACATTTTTAAACAATTTGGGACTAATTGAGAACTAGGAGAACATTTTATCAGCGTTCTATACTCCGATAACTGTGGGCTGCCATTGCATTTGCATTTTGCAAATTCTAGTTACCTGTCTGGTCTGGCTTCTGAATTCGGTACTTTTTTTTTCAGTTACTCTCGCAACAAAAGTTGAATGTCAGAGTAGTCAAAATCTGCATTTGTTTGCATCCAGATCCGTGACTAAAAAGTACTGAAACTGAATCAATGTGACAGACCGTCAACTAGTATTTTCAAAAGGAGAGGTTGGCAATAGAGGGATGTTGTAATCTCTACATATAAATAACAGTTTGCCTCCTCTCCTAGCACAACAGTTTAGGTGCAGAGTCTGACACTGAACATTTGTGTACTCACGCCCTCTACTACATCCCACTAAGTGTGAGGACAAGTTACATAGAGCCAGTTAGGTGGGTTGTATGGGCAGAGGTCCCAAATAACAATCTAAGCAAACACACCTTGCTTAACCACTTGCCCCCCTTCCTGACCAGGCCATTCTTTTGCGTTACGGAGCTGCGTTACTTGTACTGACAATTGCGCAGTCGTGCAACACTGCACCCAAATTAAATTTACAACATTTTTTTTTCCCCATTAATTGAGCTTTCTTTCGGGATTATTTGATTGCCTGTGCAATTTTATTTTTTTGCACTATAAAAAAAAAAACGCCAGTTTTGAGAAAAAACCCCCAATATTTTGGATTTTTTGCTATTAAACATATCCAGTAAAAAAAAATGTCGTCAAATGTTTTCTGTGACATGTCTTTGCTAGGAAAAAAAAAAAAATCTTAATATGTATAAATTAATTAATTTACGTGAAAGTTATAGCATCTACAACTGGCGGTATAGATCCTGGGATTTTTTTTTTTCTACTAGTAATAGCGGCGATCAGTGACTTTTAGCAGGACTACGGCAGACATTCTGACACTGGGGGGGAACTAACTTGGTGTCACTGACATCCCCAGTGACACCAATACAGTGATCGGTGCTAAAAAAAAAAAAAAAAAAAAAAAGCACTGACACTGTACTAATGGCCCTGGGCAGGAAGGGGTTAACATAAGAGGTGATCAAAGGGTTAACTATAGGTAGAGCGTGTTTTACTAGGGGTGTGTGCCAGAGCTGACGGAGGAAGACTGTAAACAAAACAGTCTTCCTCCCCGTCGGAGCCTACCAGCCGGGGGCCCGGTGATTGACATCTGTGGCCGTAAATGGCGGCGCGGGTAGGGCGCACATGCGGCTCATGCACGCCCCTAAACCGGGAAATGCAAGATCAATTATACGTAATTTTGCGCACCTGTGCTGCCCTGTAGTAGTATTTCTTCTATAGGGTGGTCGGGAAGCGGTTAAGCCAGCCATTTATGGATTCATGGGCTAGCTGGTTGTACACAGACTGACAGGTCAACTTGTGTACAATCAGACTGTCAGGTTTTTTCCTGAAGAATTAGTGCTGCCGGCAGGAAAGACTTCTCACTGGCAGAATACAGTAGCACAGCAGAAAGGATTCCCCCTTCTACCCTTAAATGTGTAGATGGGGGATTCGGCTTATTTTTTTTTTCATTCAACACACTGGATGAATGGAAAAAAAATGAATCCTATATAGCAGGGCTCAACAAATCCCAGGTGCCAAGTCACCAAGGTGACTAGAAGTTGTGTCCTGGCGCCTGAGTTCACACACTGCCTCCCACTAACTTCAATGCAAATCAACCTCAATCCTATGTGAACACTTCTCTGCGTATGCCACTCTACTCTCTCACTTGTGAGTCTGGAATGCACCGCTACAAACTCGTAAAGGACCCTTTTTGTAATGGCACTCAAAACGCAATGTGTGTGGATTGCATCTGTGTGGAACACCTCAATAGGAACACAGATATAGCCTTTCATGTGAATCTATGAGTTTGAAAATGCACCCAGAATTGCATATGTGTGAACCAGAGCAGCTCCATTCGCATCTGGGTGTTTTGGGATCACGGCAGAATTGCTGTGATCATAAAATGCAGTTTCAGGTGCCACTATTTTCCATGGCACCTAAAACATGGTGTGGTTAGCCGTGATTGCGGCTCCTAAGCTTATAACCCAAAAGTCGCCTTGCCTCGGGCACTGACATCCCACTCTACACTGAAAAAAAAAAAAAACTGGCTCCTAGATTCAAAGCAAATTTGTCAAGCCTTGGTGTATAGCCTGACTTAATGAGATATTGAGGAATTAATGCTGTACTGGAAGCAATCAAATCAAAATACAAACAGCCTCAGTAGGACTTGTATTGGTAAGAGGTGTACAATTCTGGTCAGGTCTGTTGTGTAAGCAATTACAAAAGAACACAGACAGGCCCTTGAGTTCTGTAGACAGAGTGGTAGACTGACTGCAAATAACAGCACAGACAATGTATTACATCTTTTATTTCACAGTGACCTGCTGCTGATTCATGGGAAAGAGTTCTTTGCATCTTGTGATACCATCTAAAAACATCCAGCACACTAAACTTGGTGCAGAAAATGTTGTATAACTAAACCGTTACATTATTGCCCAGAATGAGTTTCCCTATACTTCAGGTTAAACCATTTTCTTATAATTTTAGGTGAAGACCGTTACCAGAATTGGTCTCCTATAATTCAGGAGACTGTAAGCAGAATTACCATCTCCTTTATTTATTCTTCCTGTCTTCTCTCCTAAAGGCTGTTTGGACATCAATTCTTCTGTTAAAGGAGCTCGCTTTGTAAGATTCTGCGATGCCTTCAATATACCCATCATCACATTCGTTGATGTACCAGGATTTTTGCCAGGTGATGATTCAGCATTTTAACTTTCTGAAAGATAAGTCAAGACCCTAAACCTTTAGGGGTGTACTCTTATTAAATGATTAGCATAGTGTCCAACAGAATTTATTAGCTGCTGCAGGAAATTGCCCATGTAGCCGTGTGTCTTTTATACACATTGGCATATTTGTTGTCGGATCTATACACATCTTTGCAGAGCTTGAAACCTTAATGGTTATGCTGGATTACGAGAATGTTTCTCTATACATTATGCATACATCTGAACTGCTATACTCTTTGTTTGGAAGCGAAAGCCTTACAGGTTACATACTTTAGTCAATTAGTAAGTAGGGTTCTGTTTAATTTTAATTATTATCTTTGTTGTTTGACCAGGCACTGCTCAGGAGTATGGAGGCATTATCCGGCATGGAGCAAAACTTTTGTTTGCCTTTGCTGAAGCTACTGTCCCCAAGATCACAATCATTACTAGAAAGGTGAGGACATACTGTGAACAGGACAATGAGCCCTAATGACAGCTCTGTGACCCATCCGTATATAAGGCCATTACTTAATGCTAACAAGAATCCCAGTGCGTGGATGAAATTGACTCCCCTCAAAATGTTCACAAAGAAAACTAAAGAGGTGAACATTGATGGGCTAATGTCTTCAAATAATTTTGGAGGCATTATTTGGAGAAGAATAGAAAACATTCACATGTAACCGTTGGCTATCGGCCACAAGCGTTTTTGACATGCTGAAAAAATTCTTTGTGCAATAAGAACTGTTTCTGACAATTCACTGCTTTTTACTGTCCAATTGTTGAATGCAGTTTTCAAATCAATAACATTTATCAGCAGTCTCAGCGCAAGGACACTGAGATAACAGATGTTCTCTGTGTACCCTGTTCATACCATACTAGTGCATTGAATAAAAATGCAGTACATCACACGTTTCAACACATGTCAGCGTATCACAGTGCACTGCTGTGCATAGTTTTAAATGAAGCGTTAAAGGAAAAGTGCCCTTTAAACTGAAAATAAACGCTTTTTGTATACTTTTACCTACAGGTAAGCGTATAATAAAGTTTACCTGTAGGTAAAATGAATATCTCCTAAATGTGCATAGTTTAGGAGATATTCGCTCTTTTTGAGAACCGATGCATGCGCTCTGAAAGAATACCGTTCCTTCAGAGTACTATGCCATGGCCCAGAACTCCTGCGCATGTGCTCAGGAGTGATGTCGTGGCTTGGCCAGTCAGACGGCCGGACCTTACAAACCCGCAAGGAAGACCGGATGAAGATGGAAGCCTCTGCAGCGGTGAGAGTGCGCCACTTGAGGGCTTCATTTTAAGAGAAGTCCTCCATAATGCGCTAGTAGGCGATGCTTACTAGGACAGTATGACATTACCACGCAGGGGATTTTTTTTTTTTCTTTAGGTGCAGTTTACTACCAAGTTTAATTTAAGTGCATCTATAATTTTTTTTTTTTTGCTCTGACCTAAAGCACCCTCCTCTTAAACAGATGCATACTTACTTAAATCTAACACTTGAAGCCTGTACATTAGTCCAATAGTTTTATATGGAGCTGTGTCTTTCTTAACGAATGGTAAAAAAAAAAAGCGAGAACCCCCACTTTCTATTACAGTGTCTTACTCAAGTAAAGGTAAAAAAGAAAATAAAACATGCAATGCATTGATACAATGCACACCAGCATACACCCATTGAAGGTTCTGTCTTCATTACAGTTACTGTGACGTCTCCAAATCTCCCCAGCAGGCACACAAACAGCAGTGGAAATTGAGAAGAGGGTCTAACAGTTTTCTACTTTATCCCAAACTAAAGTTTGGGGTCTTTCTTTTTTTTTTTTTTATACTGTTTAAGCCTTTTGTTACAAGTCAATTAGTTTTCAGTGGATTGAAACCAATGTGTTGCAACTCAATGTTTGATAACAGTTGGTTATATTAGGAAGCAGTGTGATTTACAACTGCCTGCATTTAGTGTTGGTAAGGTTTTATGCTGTTTTGGATATTTTACAACCAAGGCCTGTCCTGCATTTAACTAATAAACTGTACTTTTGCACTCTCCATCTAATCATCCCCAACATGTAATACCTTTTGTATCACTTGACCTTTCCTTTTTAGATTTTAAGCTCTAATGAGCAGGGCCCTCTTAATTCTTCTTGTATTGTAACTGTATTGTCTGCCTCCATTTTGTAAAACGCTGCATAAATGGTTGCATTATGTGATTCCTGTATATTAATAATGTGCTCGCTCATTTTTTTTGTTTGTCAACAGGCATATGGTGGAGCCTATGATGTCATGAGCTCAAAGCATCTGAGAGGTGATGTTAACTATGCCTGGCCCACAGCAGAGGTTGCTGTTATGGGAGCAAAGGTAAAACCAGATCATTGTGAAAAGAAAATGGCAAGAAGGTGGTGGGAGGGGGGAAGACTACTTTTTTTGCTGCATGTAAAAGTGATCCAGCGGTTATCTAACCACTTGGATCACTTTTACTTTATTCAGCAACACCAGCTGAAAATACTGATCCTGGGGGCATGACTGCAGCTCCAGGCATCGCCCCGGTATAACACCTCAACCCAAGAAAGCACATGTACATCATATGGGTGGGAAGTGGTTAAAGGAAATCTGTCCTGCGAGAAATAATGTAGATAGCCATTGCCAACCTCTCCCTCTGAAAATACTTGTGTTTTGGCTATAATACCAGTGGCTTGAGTACTTTTTAAAGTCACTGATTTGAATGCTTGTTTCAGGTCAGTGTTTTAAAAACATTGAAGCCAAAGGTAGCATGACATGTAGCATTTTTAGGAGACCAGCAATGGCAGCCTGCATATTTCTGAGTACAGGTTTCCGTTAAGTCATACAAATATTTGAGCAATCAACGCTGATTACAAATGGATTGGGGAATAAACATATGTCCTTACACCACAAGGAGTGGAGAATCATCCCGGTGCAAGCTTCAAGGCACAACTTAAACCTTTTTCCTGCCCCTATACAACATTGTTGAGTGTTCAAGCAGCTAATCGCCAAGCACCAGTTAAGTCACAAAGTAGGGTGAGTCACTAGCAGCCCCATACATGCAAGTACTGGGTGGAGTGGAGCAGCATAGGAGCAAAGGAACGGTAAATATAACCTATTAATTGAGTAAACCAATAAAGCGAACCTGTTGCTTTGCCATGCTGGGGCAACGCACAGGCCTACTTTAAATACATTTAAGAGAGAACTACAATACGGCCTTCAATTTTATTAAAGAATGTAATGAAAAATTATCATTGGGGAAGAAAATTGAGAATTGTGTAGGATGCTTAGTAAATTTTAGTTTTTGGCTCCTTTTTGTAAGAGTGGTGGTTGTTTGTTCTGGTTTGTTCAGGGTTTCACAGGCTTGTGAGTTCTGGTCTGTTCAAGGTTTTACAGGCTGTGAATTTGATTGCTTCCCCCTGCCTCCGGAAGAAGCTTCTAGAGCTCAGGGAGTGAGATGTAAATAACCAGCCTGAATATTTCTCCAGTCAGCCAATCCCTGGGGAGGAGTGTCCAGTAGGGGGCTGGAAAGGTGATAATTAGTCTGAAGCACTGAAGAGCAGGGTTCCTTCTCTCCAGGAGGGTTCCAGAAGTACAGGGGCTGCTGCTGTCAGGCAGCCTGTAATATAAACAAATGGTTTTGGTGGCCTCAGAGGTGCCAGAATCAAAGGCTGAAATCGACTTTGCTGAGAGCTGATTGCAGAACCACACCATAAGGGATCCAGTCCTGAGAGGTGTTATCTCACTCATTGGGTTGTGTCTGGAGGAAGCTGGAAAGAGTTGATTCCTGAGACTGTGTGCTGAACGCTGCACTAGGTACGGATAGTTACCCGCTGGCGTAGGGTATCCGGATGCCTAAAGGCTTGCCCCATTGTCTTCTTCAGCTGTGGGGCCTTGGACTGTTCACTATAAGGTACTACTACCGCTAGAAAGACTGTCCTCTGATCACTAACTACTGCTGAGCATTTTATACTATCCTTTGCCCCAATCCCTCTCCTGTTCCAAGTTTTACCAGCAATAAATCACAAAAGACAACTCCTTGACTGTTTATTGGAGTCGGTGTTCATAGGTTGTTGCTTGGGTGACTGATGCTCTTTCTACTGTTTGGGAAGAACCAGTTAAAAGCAGCAGTCCCTGCAAGGGTAGCCCGACTATTGTATTGCTTGTGCCTAAGCCAACGGTGCATATAAAAGAGTCCTTTCACATAAGTGCCCTTCATTCTATCGTAAAAAATTATGAATTAAAAAGAAATGCATAAAAATAGTTTCTCTCTTCAGTATACATCAATTTATACATTTCGTGTTCAGTTTACATCTGTATGCATTTTTTTTTTTTCTTGTCAAAGAAAGGTGGACAAAAAAAATGTTTCTTGCCTAATAACAGATGTGAACAGAAAACATCCATTTTACGCCCCCAAAACGGAAAAGGACACAAAGCTTTTCCATTTCTTTTGTTTTTGCTGGCATAAACATACTCCGAAGTAAACAGATCTATGTCTAGTTACATCTACTTGCTCATAGACCTACATAGCTGTTCAGATTGGATCCCTCGGATTCAGTTCGGACAAACAGATCCACACTGGACGCCCCTGGGAAAGGGTCCTAAGTCTATAAAGTGTAACTGCAATCTCTTCCATGTCAGTCCGTGATATGAAGCTGATGCTTTTTGTCTCTGCAGGGAGCTGTACAGATCATATTCCGAGGAAAACAGAACCAGGCCGAGGCCGAGGCCGAGGCAGAATATGTGGAGAAGTTTGCCAACCCTTTTCCTGCAGCAGTCAGAGGTAAGACTTCTTTGAGACCAGTTCAGTATGACAAATATCAACAGTTAAGGCTTCCTACTTTTTTTCAGTGAACAATTTTCAGAACAAAAATGGAGCTGGTTTCCTGGCACTGTGTAGATATTCCACCCATACAATAGATCATCTTTTCTGCACATTAATACTCTTTAAGCAGGCAGGACCACCCCTACCTACTTTTGCTTGATAAAATGCCCCAGAGAGATCTTGTGCACGATGAGGTGTTTCTTGCTTTGGATAATACTTTATTAAGCAAGGTAAGTAGCAGGGGCTTGACCTGCAGTTTGGGAATCGGTGAAGTATTTCTGGGGTTCGATGAGCCCCACTAGTGCCTGGAGGAACTCTGGTGGGTCCTTTTCTTACAGCTCTATAATCAGTCTGGGAGAGGTGCCATCTTTTAGTTTGGATATTAATAAAAACACTGACATCCTTCAGCAAATACAACAGATAATCTTTGCCGCATATTAATAAACACACCTACAGTCTCCAACAAATACAACACTTTACTGCACTGTGGTCTAACAGACAGTGTTGTGCATATGCCATTGGACATGTCCCATTGATCCATCACCATGGTTAGAATAACCTAGATCCCAAGGTTTCCAGGCCTTTAATGCTTGGTTCATGTTAAGTAAGGCTGGCCATACATTATACAACTTTCTCGAGATTTATGGTTTATATTTACCAAAAACCATATAACAGGAGATCAAACCTAACAACACTCCAATTAGGCAGGCTCTTGCACTACATAGTTGAAGTTAAATCTAAAGGAAAGTGGACAGAAAATTGTATAGTGTATGGCCAGCCTAAGGCTGCTTTCTAGTTGAGCTGGATAATTTTAATTGGGTGTCAAAGGCAACACACCCTTTATCATTTTAACCTGCATTAGAATAATCTTGCAGCTAAAATGACTGATTATTGTGGCCAACAAGTGCTTTTTGCCCCAGTGGACTTCTACAGACCTTTATCAGACTAAAATGTATCTGGCTACACACACTTTCCTGCATAGATCTAGTTATTTGCAATTGATGTAAACCTGATTACTCCATATGCCACAGAGTCCTCTTAAAGTAACTTGAACATTTCCAATCTGTCTGATTGCTTTCATCTGTGATTCTGCTAAATTGGATCAAAATGGTAGTGAAAGCTGATTGATAATTGCTATATTCAATCAAGAGATAGTAAAACAAATCTGTGCGTGTATGGCAAGGGAGGTAGACATCATTTACATTTTATGGCAGTGGAATATCTAAATTGCAGAAACATAACCGAAAACAACCATGTGCACAGTAGGCTGAGTACACAAAGCCTTTTTTCAGTTGAAAGTTGTTTTTTTAATATGATCTGATCACTTCCTATAGCCCAGTCGTGAAGAATTCCAAAGTAGGCTGCTCTTTTTGATTTCCTTTAGAAAATGATATTTGCCCGGCTGTCTTGAGTTAACAGCTACTTTCAGAATCATGGAACATAAAGCAGAACTACATTGCGTCTGGAGCACCACAACGCAAAAACACTATTTAATTCATTTTTACTATTTAAAGCAAACTCCCCTATCCATCCTTGTCTCCAAGCTTTATCTTGCTGAGACATCACTTTGAACCCCTTCCTCCTTCTCCCTCAGGCATGGAGGCAGGAGGGTGTGCTTAGCTGAAAAAACCCTCCTGGAGACTCCTGCGCTGTATGACATCATTTGCCTAGGCTGGAAATCAGGAAGGAAATGTGTAAAAAAAAAACTTTGGAAATTATATCATATTTACTTTTTTTAATCTATTTACTGATGCCATCAGCATAAGGATTGCAATTAGTCCATGTTGATTGAGAGAATGAAGTTCTGCTTAAACATGTAGTATGTTGTCAGAATACTATCTTTCAAAATTGCATCTATATCTCTGTATGTATTTTGTTTCTATGAAGTGTTGACCTGACTGACTTTGTTTTGGACAGGATTTGTTGATGACATCATCCAGCCGTCTACTACACGCATGCGCATCTGTCGTGATCTTGAAGTACTTGCAAGTAAACAACAAGTAAATCCATGGAAGAAACATGCAAATATCCCTCTGTGAGGTGAATCTGAGTTACAGCACTGTACATTCCTGTCTGGGAAATGATAAAACGCAGACTGGTTTGTGTCAAACTGGAATCATGACTTTTCTATGGACAAGGAGATGTGATTTCCTGCAGACTACAGCTATTGTAAATGTCTGACACATTAAATCCTCAGAATACAAAGAAAACCTTGATTTTAAGAATAATTGTCTGCTGTTACAGCCGAGACATTGATTTTAAGGATAATAAATAATTCTAATTACCATCCTTGCTGGGATCAGTGTTATGAAGTTTTGAATGGTGCCAATGTTTTCTGCTCTGTTTATTGTACGTTGTTCCTGTGAATGGGAATCTGTCTGGATCACAGCCTGGGAACATGCAATTCCATAAACAAGCAAGTTGCCATTGCTGACTTATTTACCCTACAGGGCAATGCTTGGCTCCTTTTTATTTTTACCAGTGACTGCAAACAACTGCATGTCTGACATAAACATCTACATTGCCATGTAGAGGGCCATACAGCACCATAGAAACTCAATACACTGTGTGAAAACACTGGATGCGGCGTGCCATCCTGATTGAGATGCTGGTTTAGTGTATTGCCCTGCTCCTGTGCACCTTTCCTTTAGTTAAACATTTTAATAGCTATCATTTTGTTGGTTTCTAGTATTTGGTGTGAGTGGAACACACTTCGCAGTGGTGCTTTGGAATGGCTATGAATACATTTTAAAATGCATGCAAACTCACCCTTTGCTTTTAGGACAAAGTACAAATAAATGAATTCGGTTTTCTATTCTGATCATCAGCATACAGATGAAAGATAACTTCCATCCCTAGTCTGTTAAACGTTGCTTTTGATCTAACTAGGAGCCACTAACTGACACTGCTGGCCAGGAAATCTATGTGACATGATGTAGAGCAAGTCATAGCACAGATGTACAATTAGAGTGCTTCTACATGCCATTTTATAGGACTCTGTAGGTATGACCTTCCAAGTCAATGTGAGCATTTTTTTTTATTTACATACTGTCACCAGTGCAGTACAGCATCATATAACTGGCATGGTGGTGATCAGGGACGGGTGACAGTACGGAAACAAAAATTGATAATTTGCTTTTTAATTCTATTTTTTTTCTCTTTTTTTTTCATATTGCACTATGACCAAAGTAGTATAATGTTACCATAGTAACATTGTACTACTTTGGACAAGTGATCAGTATTTTTTTTTTTTTACACAATTTGCTTATAGCAAAGAATTACCTGAATGAAATTGATTCATTCATTCATTGTTTTTTTTGTGATTAGCTGTGATTTGGCCACAGCTAATTACATGACACAGCTGAGCTGTGATCAGTGTGACCATTCACAGCTAGACACACTTGTATGCAATGGATGGCATGAAAGGAAGCCAGCCATTGTATACAACTGTCATGTGACCTGCTGTGATTGGTCACAGCAGGTCACATGGTACAGGCAATGGGGCCTGTACACAGATCTATCATCGGGCATGCGCAATGCGCGTCTGGAAAGGATGCCACATGGCGTCCACCCAGAGAGACAAACTGTTTGCCCGGCCCCCATCTGGCTACAGGCTGGGTGGCAACTGGTTAATCAAGGGCAGCACTGTCCTGACCCAGTCCATCCTCTGTTTAACATAGTTTACCAGGACCTGTAGCCAACCAAGTGTTGGACTACACTAGTATACAGGGAAATATCCAACATTTTGTGCAGGAGGTTTTAATGATTGGATGCACATCCTAGAACTGAAAACAAGAATGCATACTCCAGCATACATTTAATGAGCACGATTTGTTTGGAAACTGGTAATCTACCTAACATGTCAAACAGATAGGGGAGAATGTAGTCTAACCCCAGGGATATGGATATTTTCTAAATAATAAAAAAACAACAACTCCTTGTCCAAATGACTAAATCGGGTCCCACTCTACTTGTCCTGAGAAAAATAGATTTTTTTTGCCAGGATGGAAAATATAAAGGGCCATTTTTTTTTTTTTTTTTTGGCAGAGGTTCTTTCAAGTCCTGAGGATTTTGAACACAAAAGGGTCTTCAACCTTTTTTTTTTTTTTTTTTTAATTATTTGCTAGAAAATTTCTTAGGACCCACAAACTTTTTTTTTTTTTTTTTTTTTTTTTTTTTTTTTTTTTTTTTTAGCAGAGGCCCTAGAGAATAAATTGAGTGTTGCAATTTTTATGCCACATGGTAATTGCGCATGCTTGTACAGTGTTTTTTTTTTCCAAATGCAATTGTTTTGGAAAAAATACAGTTTTTGAATTTCAGTGCAAAAAACACAATACATAAGCCAAGTCCTTAATAAAAAGATGTTACGGTGAGTAAATAGAAGCCAAACATGTTGCACTTTAAAATTGCGCACGTCCGTGCAATACCAACAAACATACATTTTACTATCCGTAGGTGACACTTTAAAAGCATTTGCAGGTTACTACTTGAAATTTACACAGTAAAATCTGGTGCTAGAACTACTAGCAATGTTCTTGGTGATACCTCATGTGTGGGATGATTGCTGTTTGCGTGCATGCGGGGCTGACATGTGCGTTTGCCTTTGCGTGCAAGCATGGGGGCACACGGGTTCTTTTAATTAATTTTATTTTTTTATGTATTTATTTATCACTGTTATTGCTGTCACAATCAATGTAAACATCACTTGTTCCTGCAATAGGCAATGACTACTACTCTTAATGGAGAGATCTGGGGTCAAGATCAGTGTGATCAAATGCTTTCCATTTCTAACCACTTGCCCTTAGGAAGATTTACCCCCCCGGCCATTTATTTTGTTATTTGGCACTGCGCTAATTCAACTGGTTACAGCATTGCATGACCGCTCAATTACCAAACAAAATTTATGTTCTCTTTTCACACAAATAGAGCTTTCTTTTGGTGTTGTTTGATTTCCATTAGTTTTATTTTTTGTGATATGAACGAAAAAATACCAAAAATTAAAAAAAAATATATATTTTCTACTTTCAGTTACAAAAAATATCCAATAAATTTCAAAGTTGATCATAAATTTAGGCCAAAATGTATTCTGCTACATGTCTTTTGGTTAAAAAAAAAATCCCTATAGGTGTATATTAATTGGTTTGTGTGAAAGTTATAGCGTCTACAAACTATGGCATAGATACTGGAATTTACACAGCATTTACTTTCTGACTGCCTATCACATTTCTTGAGGTGCTAAAATGCCAGGACAGTACAAAGACCCCCCCCCAAATGACCCCTTTTTGGAAAGTAGACACCCCAAGGAATTTGCTAAGAGACATGTTGAGTCCATGGAAGATTTAAATTTTTTGCCGCAAATTTTTGAAAAATTTAATTTTTTTTTCCCCACAAAGTTGTGACTTAAATGACATATTGCTCACATATGCGTGGCTATATGTGGAAAAACATCCCAAAACACATTCTGCTACTTCTCCCAAGTATGGAGATACCACATGTGAGAGACTTTTTAGCAGCCTATCCACCTACAGGCCCCCAAAATCCAATGACCACCTCCAGTCTTTCAAATGGCATATTTCCTCATCTTCCTTCTTCACTACCCAACACCGTTTTGAAGGTCCTAAAATGCCAGGATAGTACAAACACACCCCCCCCAAATGACCCCTTTTTGAAAAGTAGACAATCCAAGGAATTTTATAAGAGGCATGGTGGGTATTTTGCAGATATCATTTTTGTCACAAGGTTTTGAAAAAGAAAATACTCACCATGACCCTTAGCAAATATCTTGGAATGTCTACTTTCCAAAAAGGGATCATTTGGGGGATGGGTGCTTCTACGATCCTAGCATTTCCGGGTCAACAGAAGATTCTGCCACACATCAGCCGTTTTTCTAACCACTAGAACAGTGCTTCTTAACCTGGGTTCGATCGAACCCCAGGGGTTAGGTGAGTCAGTCTCGCGGGTTCGGCGGAGGTGAAGACCCACACCCGACTCATGATTCGTGCAGTAAATATTCATTATTATGTTTTTGTGTGAAAATCATGTTTTAATGATTTTGTTCTTTGTTCTTAACGGTTTTGTTCATTTTGTGCACCTACAGTCAGGTCCATAAATATTGGGACATTGACACAATTCTAACATTTTTGGCTCTATACACCACCACAATGGATTTGAAATGAAACAAACAAGATGTACTTTAACTGCAGACTGTCAGCTTTAATTTGAGGGTATGTACATCCAAATCAGGTGAACGGTGTAGGAATTACAACAGTTTGCATATGTGCCTCCCACTTCTTAAGAGACCAAAAGTAATGGGACAGAATAATAATCATAAATCAAACTTTCACTTTTTAATAATTGGTTGCAAATCCTTTGCAGTCAATTACAGCCTGAAGTCTGGAACGCATAGACATCACCAGATGCTGGGTTTCATCCCTGGTGATGCTCTGCCAGGCCTCTACTGCAACTGTCTTCAGTTCCTACTTGTTCTTGGGGCATTTTCCCTTCAGTTTTGTCTCCAGCAAGTGAAATGCATGCTCAATCGGATTCAGGTCAGGTGATTGACTTGGCCATTGCATAACATTCCACTTCTTTCCCTTAAAAAACTCTTTGGTTGCTTTTGCAGTATGCTTTGGGTCATTGTCCATCTGCACTGTGAAGCGGCGTCCAATGAGTTCTGAAGCATTTGGCTGAATATGAGCAGATAATATTGCCCGAAACACTTCAGAATTCATCCTGCTGCTTTTGTCAGCAGTCACATCATCAATAAATACAAGAGAACCAGTTCCATTGGCAGCCATACATGCCCACGCCATGACACTACCACCACCATGCTTCACTGATGAGGTAGTATGCTTAGGACCATGAGCAGTTCCTTTCCTTCTCCATACTCTTCTCTTCCTATCACTCTGGTACAAGTTGATCTTGGTGTCATCTGTCCATAGGATGTTGTTCCAGAACTGTGAAGGCTAATTTAGATGTCGTTTGGCAAACTCTAATCTGGCCTTCCTGTTTTTGAGGCTCACCAATGGTTTCCATCTTGTGGTGAACCCTCTGTATTCACTCTGGTGAAGCCTTCTCTTGATTGTTGACTTTGACACACATACACCTACCTCCTGGAGAGTGTTCTTGATCTGGCCAACTGTTGTGAAGGGTGTTTTCTTCACCAGGGAAAGAATTCTTCAGTCATCCACCACAGTTGTTTTCCGTGGTCTTCCGGGTCTTTTGGTGTTGCTGAGCTCACCGGTGCGTTCCTTCTTTTTAAGAATGTTCCAAACAGTTGTTTTGGCCACGCCTAATGTTTTTGCTATCTCTCTGATGGGTTTGTTTTGTTTTTTCAGCCTAGAGATGGCTTGCTTCACTGATAGTGACAGCTCTTTGGATCTCATCTTGAGAGTTGACAGTAACAGATTCCAAATACAAATAGCACACTTGAAATGAACTCTGGACCTTTTATCTGCTCATTGTAATTGGGATAATGAGGGAATAACACACACCTGGCCATGGAACAGCTGAGAAGCCAATTGTCCCATTACTTTTGGTCCCTTAAAAAGTGGGAGGCACATATGAAAACTGTTGTAATTCCTACACTGTTCACCTGATTTGGATGTAAATACCCTCAAATTAAAGCTGACAGTCTGCAGTTAAAGCACATCTTGTTTGTTTCATTTCAAATCCATTGTGGTGGTGTATAGAGCCAAAAATGTTAGAATTGTGTCGCTGTCCCAATATTTATGGACCTGACTGTATGTATAAATATATACCTAAATATATACCTATGTTTTGAATTTTAAAAATCATATTTTATTTTTACAATTAAGAAGGGTTCGGTGAATGCGCATATGAAACTGGTGTGGTTCAGTACCTCCAACAAGGTTAAGAACCACTGCCCTAGAAGAACAAGCATTTACTGACACTTTTTTTTTGCTAGAAAATTACTTTGAACCCCCCAAACATTATATATTTTTTTAAAGCAATGGCCCTAGGGCAGTGGTGGGCAACCTTTTTTTTCAACTGAGCCAAATCTTGCCAAAACCACGATTGAAATTTATTTTGAGAGCCACATTTTTAAAACTGAAAATACATAGGATGGTACATTGTTTTTAGTTTCAATAAGTTTTTATAGTAATTCATCCCCCATATAGTAATTCATCCCCCATATAGTAATTCATCCCCCATATTAATTCATCCCCCATATAGTAGTAGTAAGTAAGTAGCAAGTAGTAAGCCAAGTCCCCCCTGTGTCAATTCACTTACCTTTGCTCCGCGCGTTCCTCTCGCCGTCTTCCCGCGCCGTTCCAGTCTTCAGGGCGGACTGTGAGAGGAACCTAGCTCCTCTCACGTTCGTCACGCTGCCCTGCCTACACACATCCTGACAGCCAATCACTGGCTATCAGGATGTGAATGGCAGCGAGACTGGCCAATCATTGCATTTGAGCGCGCTGCCCTGGCTGTTTTTTTTTTTTTTTTTTTTGGATCACGCTGCAAAGTCCCTGCCGCCCAAGAGGAGGGAGGGGAGCGGGCGCCCGGCACACAAGAGCCACATTAAAGCGTGTAAAGAGCCGCATGTGGCTCGCGAGCCGTGGCTTGCCGACCACTGCCCTAGGGAATACTATGGTGGGTGTGGCATTTTTTTATGCCACACAGTATTTGCACGGCGGTTTCTCAAATGCTAATTTATTTGGAAAAAATACACCTTTTTGAATGTTGATGCATGAAAACTCAATATATTGGCCAATTGTTTGATGAAAAATAAAAAATGATGTTACTCCGAATAAATAGATACCAAGCATTACATGCTTTAAAATTGCACATGCCCGTACAACAGTGAGAAACTACATACATTTTTAATATCGATAGAGGAATCTTTAAAAACCTTTAAAGGTCACCACTTTATCTTTAAACTGGAGGTCTAGTGCTAGAATTACGGCAATTGATCTGAAATTCACTGTGATACCTCACATTCCGGTGCAAGCTCTGTTTACATACCGACAAAGGATTACTGATGCTTGCATTCGCCTTTCGCATAGGAAGGGGGGGGGGGGGGGCAGGGCGGGGGTGATTTATTTTTTGAAATCACTTTTATTGGTCTCACAGGGAAAGTAAATATCCCTTGTGATAGCAATAGGCAATGACAGGTATTCTTTTCTGAGAAATCTGAGATCTATTAGACATCCATTGGTGTCAGTGGGGGAGGAATAGTGCCCCATCATTGGTGTCAGTGGGGGAGAATAGTGCCCGCCATCGTGTGGTGTGTGTGGGGGGGGGAGTGCCCCATCATTGGTGTCAGTGGAAGGAAGTAGTGCCCCATCATTGGTGTCAGTGTGGAGGAATAGTGCCCCATCATTGGTGTCTGTGTGGGAGGAATAGTGCTGTCCCATCTTTCGGTATCAGTGGGAGGAATAGTGGTCCCATCATTGGTGTCAGTGGGAGGAATAGTGTCCCATCATTGGTGTCAGTGGGAGGAATAGTTGCCCCATCTTTGGTATCAGCGGGAGGAATAGTGCCACATCATTGGTGTCATGCGGGGAGGAATAGTGCCCCATCATGTGATGTCAGAAGGAGGCTATCAAATAGCGCCCTATATGATTGGTGTCATGCGGGAGGAATAGTGCCCCATCATTGATGTCAGGTGGTGTGTGGGTGTGGGGAAATAGTGCCCATCATTCATGTCAGGGTTCAGGGTGGGGGGAATAGTGCCCCATCATTGGTGTCGGGGAGGGGGGGGGGAAATAGTACCCCATCGTTGGTGTTGGGGGGGGGGGGGGGAGAAATCCGCATAGTGCCCCCATCGTTGGTGGTCGGTAAGGAGGGGGGGGGGAGAATAGTGCCCCATCCGTTGTGTGTCACGGTTGTGGGGGGGGTGGGGGGGAAATCGTTTACCATCCAATGGTGGTGTGTGGGGGGGACGATAATACAGCTGAGCTGGTGCATGTCTGCCCATCGTTGGGGGGGGGGGGGTGTTGGTTGGGGAGTGGGGGGGGGGAATAAAGTGCCCCATCGCTTGGTGTCAGTGGGGGTTGGGGTGGAGAAATAGGTGCCCCATCGTTGGTTGTCCAGTGGGGGGGGGGGGAGGAAACCCATCGTCCGCCGCATCGTATGGTGTCGAGTGGGGGGGGGGAGAATATTGCCCCATCGTTGGTGTCGGTGGGGGGGCGGGGGGGGGAGGAATATAAGTGCCCCCATCGTTGGTGTCTAGTGGGGGGGGGGGGGAGATATTGCCCCCATCGTTGGTGTCGGTGGGGGTGGGGAGGAATAGTGCCCCTTCGTTGTGGTGTCGGTGGTGGGGTGGGGGGAGGAATAGTGCCCCCCATCGTTGGTGTCGGTCAGGGGGGGGGGAAATAGTGCCCCATCGTTGGTGTCGGTGGGGTAGTGGGGGGAGAATAGTGCCCCATCGTTGGTGTCCCGGTGGGGGGGGTGCCCCATCGTTGGTGTCGGTGGTGGGGGGTGAGAATAGTTGGCCATCGAAGGAGTCGGTGGTTAGTGGGGGGAAGGGGGGGGGAGAATAGTGCCCCATCGTTGGTGTCGGGGGGGGGAGAATGAAGAATGTGCCCCAATCGTTGGTGTCGGCTGGGGGGGGGGGGGAAATAGTTTGCCCCATCGTTGGTGTCGGTGGGGGGGGGAGATAGTGCCCCATCGTTGGTGTCGGGGTGGATCGTGCGGGGGGGGGAGAAATAGTGCCCCCTATCGTTGGGTGTCGGTGGGGGGGGGGGAGAATAGTGCCCCCATCGTTTGTGTGTCGGAGGGGGGGGGGAATAGTGCCCCATCGTTGGTTGTCGGAGGGGGGAGAAATAGTGCCCCCCATCGTTGGTGTCGGGTGGTGGGGGGGGGCGAGAAATAGTGCCCATCGTTGGTGTCGGTGGGGGGAGAAAATAGTGCCCCATCGTTGGTGTGTCGGGGGGGAGAGGATAGTGTGCCCCATCGTTGGATGTCAGTGTGGGGGGAGAAAATAGTGCCCCATCGTTGGTGTCGGTGGGGGGGGAGAATAGTGCCCCATCGTTGTGTCGGTGGGGGGAGAGTGCCCCATCGTTGGTGTCGGGGGGGAGAAATAGTTGCCCCATCGTTGGTGTCGGGGGGGGGAGATAGTGCCCCATCGTTGGTGTCGTCAGGGGGGAGAAATAGTGCCGTCCCTATCGTTGGTGTCGGGGGGGGGAGAAATAGTGCCCCAATCGTTGGTGTCGGGGGGGGGGGGGGAATAGTGCCCCATCGTTGGTGTCGGGGGGGGGGACAGAGAATAGTGCCCCGCACACATCATTGGCGGTCGGGTGGGGGGGAGGAATAGTGCCCCATCGTTTGTGTCGGGGGGGGAGGGAGAATAGTGCCCCATCGTTGGTGTCGTCAGGATGGTGGGGGGGGAGGAATAGTGCCCCATCGTTGGTGTCGGGGGGGGGGAGAATATATGCCCATCGTTGGTGTCGGTTGGTGGGGGGTAGGAGGAATAGTGCCCCATCGTTGGTGTCAGGGGTGGGGGGAATAGTGCCCCCATCGTTGGGTGTCGGGGGGGGAGAAATAGTCCCCATCGTTGGTGTCAGGGGGGGGGGAATAGTGCCCCATCGATTGGTGTCAGGTGGGGGGGGGGGGAAAGGAATAGTGCCCCATCGTTGGTGTCGGGGGGGGGAGGAATAGTGCCCCATCGTTTGATGTCAGGGGGTGGTGGGGGGAATGGGGGATAGTGCCCCCATCGTTGGTGTCGGTGGGGGAGAAATAGTGCCCCATCGTTGGTGTCGGGGGGGGAGAATAGTGCCCCATCGTTGGTGTCAGGGGGGGGAGGAATAGTGCCCCCATCGTTGGTGTCGGTGGGGGGGGAAATAGTGCCCCATCGTTGGTGTCGGGGGGGGGAATAGTGCCCCATCGTTGGTGTCGGGGGGGGGAGAAAGGAGGAATAGTCCCCCATCGTGGTGTCAGGGGGGGGGGAGGAATATATTGCCCCATCGTTGGTGTCAGTGGGGGGGGGGGAGGAATAGTGCCCATCATTGGTGTCGGTGGGGGGGTAGGAAATAGTGCCCCATCGTTGGTGTCAGTGGGGGGGGGATAGTGCCCCATCAATTGTTGGTGTCAGTGGGGGGGGGAATATAGTGCCCCATCGTTGGTGTCCGTGGGGGGGGAGGAATAGTGCCCCATCGTTGTGTCAGTGGTGTGGGGGGGGGGGGAAGGATAGTGCCCCATCCCCAATACGTTGGTGTCGGTGGGTGGGGGAGAGATAGTGCCCCATCGTTGGTGTCGGTTGGGGGGAGAATAGTGCCCCATCGTTGGTGTCATGGGGGGGGAGGAATAGTGCCCCATCGTTGGTGTCGGTGGGGGGGGAGGAATAGTGCCCCCATTCATCGTTGGTGTCAGGTGGTGGGGGAGAAATAGTGCCCCCATCATTGGGTGTCGGGGGGGGGGGAAATAGTGCCCCATCGTTGGTTCGTCGGGGGGGGAGAATAGTGCCCCATCGTTGGTGTCGGGGGGGGGGGAGAATAGTGCCCATCGTTGGTGTCGGGGGGGGGGGAGGAAATAGTGCCCCATCGTTGGTGTCGGTGGGGGGGAGAATAGTGCCCCATCGTTGGTGTAGGGGGGGGGGGGGGAGAAAGAAAGAAAGTAGTGCCCCATCGTTGGTGTCGGTGGGGGGGAGGAATAGTGCGCCCATCGTTGGTGTGCGGTGGGGGGGGGGAGGAATAGTGCCCCATCGTTGGTGTCAGGTGGGGGGGGGGGAATAGTAGCCCCATCGTTGGTGTCGGTGGGGAGGAGGAAATAGTGTGTGCCCCATCGTTGGTGTCGGGGGGGGAGAATAGTGCCCATCGATTGGTGTCGGTGGGGGGGAGGGGGAGGAATAGTGCCCCATCGTGTGGGTGTCGGTGGGGGGGAGATAGATTGCCCCAGCATTGTGTGTCGGCTGGGGGGGGGAGGAATAGTGCCCCATCGTTGGTGTCGGGGGGGGGGGAGAGAATAGTGCCCCTCGTTGATGTGTCGGCGGGGGGGGGCAGCGAATAGTGCCCCATCGTTGATAATGTCAGGGGTGGTGGTGTGGGGGATTAGTGCCCCCACTCGTTCGGTTGGGGTCGGTTTGGGGGGAGGAGAAGAAATAGTGCCCATATCGTTGGTGTCGGGGGGGGGAGAAATAGTGCCCCATCGTTGGTGTCGTCGGTGGGGGGGGAGTGGGGAATAGTGCCCCATTCGTTGTGTGTCGGGGGGGGGGAGAAATAGTTGCCCCATCGTTGGTGTCGGTGGGGGGGAGGGGGGGAGGAGGGAATAGTGCCCCATCGTTGGTGTCGGTGTGGGGGGAGGAATAGTGCCCCATCGTTGGTGTCGGGGGGGGGAGGAATAGTGCCCCCATCGTTGGTGTCGGTGGTGGGGGGGGGAGGGAATAGGCCCAGCGTTGGTGTCCCATAGTTGGTGGGTGCAGTGGGTGGGGGGGGGAAATAGTGCCCCATCATCGGTGTCAGGGTGGTGGGGGGTGGGTGATAGCTCCCCATAGTTGGTGTCGGTGGGAGAGAGAAATAGTGCCCCATCGTTGGTGTGGGGGGGGGGAGGAATAGCGGCCCCCAATCGTTGGTGTCAGTGGGGGGGAGGAATAGTGCCCCATCGGTGGTGGGTGTCGGGGGGAGGAATAGTGCCCCTATCGATTGGTGTCGGGGGGGGGAAAAAATAGTGCCCAATCGTTGGTGTCAGGGGGGGGGGGGGGGGTCCAGGAGGAATAGTGCCCCATCGTTGGTGTGTCGGGGGGGGGGGAGGAATAGTGCCCACTATCGTTGGTGTCGGGGGGGAGGGAGAGAATAGTGCCCCATCGTGGTTGGTGGTCGGTGGGGGGGGGGGAGGTAATAGCGCCCCATCGTTGGTGTCGTGGGGGGGGGAGGAATAGTGCGGTGTGGTGTGGTGGGGGGGGGGAGGAATGGTGCCCCATCGTTTGGTGTCGGTGGGGGGGGGATAGTTAGCGCCCCATTTCATTGGTGTCGGTGGGGGGGGAGAATAGGTGCCCCATCGTTGGGTGTCGGTGGGGGGGGGAATGAAATAGTGCCCATCGTTGGTGTCGGGCGGGGTGGGGGGAGAATAGTGGCCCATCATTGGTGTCAGTGGGGGTAGGAATAGTGCCCCATCATTGGTGTCGTAGTGGGGGAGGAATAGTGCCCCATCTGTTGTGGTGTCAGTGGGGGGGTCCCATCCATATTGGTTGTCAAGTGGGAGGAATAGTGCCCCATCATTGGTGTCAGTGGGAGGGAATAGGCCCATCATTTGTTAGTCCAGCGGGAGGAATAGTTGTCCATCGTTGGTGTCGGGGGGGGAGAATAGTGCCCCATCGTTGGTGTCAGTGGGTGGGGGAAATAGTGCCCCATCGTTGGTGTCAGTGGGGGGGAGGATAGTGCCCCTTCTTTGTTGGGGGTGGGTGATAGTGCCAAATCATTGGTGTTGGGTGGTGGGGAGGAATAGTGCCCCATCATTGGTGTCAGGGGGGGGAGAAATAGTGCCCCCATCGTTGGTGTCGGGGGGGGGGAAATAGTGCCCCATCGTTGGTGTCGGGGGGGGGGGGAAATAGTGCCCCATCGTTGGTGTCGGGTGGGGGGGAAAATAGTGCCCATCGTTGGTGTCGGTGGGGGGGAGGAGAGAATAGTGCCCATCGTTGGTGTCAGTGGGGGGGTGAGGAATAGTGCCCATCATT